CAGGAGTAACATGCTTTGCAGACAGGCAGGAAAAATAAACCACATGTGACCTCACCCTGGTCTATTACCAGGATTGATAGATTTATCGTTTTTTACTCCCAACAGTATATATTTTTCTTTCAACTCACAAATATGGTAGATTTAGAAATGTTTTGAAACTAGGTGCCTCACAAGTTAATTCAACAAAATCTGCCCCCTCTCCCCCCACACACTGTTTGTATACTCAGTGACTCTAATATAGTGATATTTCTTTTGGCAGTCCTTTGTGTGCGATAGCTCAAACTATTAGGTCTAACTACTTCCCTCCACATAGTGTGAACTGCGCAGTCCTGCCAAGCCTAGGACCATCCATCATCACAACAGAGAAAGTGCACTGTACTTTGTCCATTAAGAGGAATGTAATTCATGAATCATGAGGAGTTTATTTTTCTCTTGAAGGGAATAAAAGAACAAAAAGCTTTACTGTATCTCATTAGTCCCAGTGGTGCAAAGGCTCTTGGTATTCATTTGGTTTTGTGTTAATAGCTGTCATGGTTTGGTCCTATCACTATGTGAATGAGCTGCCCGATCTCCTTTGCACCGGTCGTGCAAATGTCAGGATTCTTGAAAACGTTGGGAGTGTGTGTCTGTACGTGTGCAAGAAAGTCACGTTTCAGTCGCGATACTTTTTAGTACAAGCACACACAGACGCAGGTATTAGAGGGGTTTCGCTGTTAAAACGCCACATCAACGACCTCCTTATAATGGCCATTAAGAGTCTGTTGATTCAGACGTAAAAGAGCGCTTGAATTTATGACCTAATGGAGATGTGTAAGTGATACAGAGCCATTGTGTGTTTTTCCACGTTTATGCTCTGGCAGATGTGGCTCCAATAGGTTTTGAATAACACATTTTCAAATGATTGAAGCAAGTATTTGGCAGTTTCCCAAATGACTCTCCTGATTTGAACACTTTTTTTTGATCCATTAAGTATGTTTATTGTAAATTTCATCATATTTAGAAAATAATTACCTCATTAAACCATAAATCAGTGATGGGTGGAAAGCTTTGAAACTGAGAGATTACGGTAAAAATTTTAGCAGGATGCTGTTTGAGTTTTATATGGATGCTCTTTTTGTAAGATTAATGTGGAGAGGCAGCAACTCGCAAGATTTTAGATTTATCGGTATTTCCATTAAATAATTAAATAAATTTGTTCTATAAACATTTCATTACCAATGGCCAGAAACACAAATGATCCGTCAAGTTTATTGATGACTTGGCA